ATGAACTAGTATCTAGACCTTTTTTTTCCCCCCCCCCCTTCTCCCCCGTCCCTCAAACAAGGATCAGAGATGCTGCCATCTGATGAAGGGGAATCAGAGTGGGCCCAAGTGCTGAGGTGTCCAGATGCAGCTGAAAACCCCAAGGAGCTCTCATAGTCGTGGTCCTCTCCAATCTATAATAGAGCTCTCGAGAATTAAAGGTTCTTCTTTATTAGCAGAAATGCATATAGGTAGATTGGCTATGAGCTTGCCAACCTGTTATTATTTGGCTTGGAAAGCTGGAGAACTCTTTTTTTTTTTTTTTTTTTTTTTTTTTTTTTTTCCCCAAGTCCTTACTGGCTTAATTGGATTCTCTAGGATAATCAAGCCTGGTTATCCTAGAAAAGTCATTTTTATATGCCAGTTGAAAACCAAAGCAGTTTTATGAGTAAACTGTTGATATAATACAAGAACTGTGCGTTAAGCTTTTTATCTGTGGACGGAGTTATCTAGCTGTATTGTCCAATGTCATTGTAGTTTTAAATTTATTTTTATTAATATAATTTGTTGTTGTATCAAGTGAAACTGCATTGAACTGGTTACCAACTGAAATTGGTTATAGCGTTGTCTGAAAATAATCCTGCAACAGTAGCACTCTGATATGGAGAAATTGTAGCTAGTGAACGTGTGTCTGGTAAAACAGAAAGGAAAAACAAAAAAAAAGACACACAAAAAAGAAAACGTTTTGGCTGATGGAACATTCAACTAGCTCTTGAATGGAGTGGGATTAAGACAATGCACAGCTATTTTTCCCGTTGCCCTGACTCTAGCCTTACATAGAACAGCAGGTAATGGTAGGTGTGTAGGTATAGAGCACAACGTTGAAAATGCTGATGGATCTTTGAGCAGTTTCACTCTTTCATRTGTGACTGCTGGGAGCTTTGAGAGYTCCTAGATTTGGATGTTACTGTGGTTAATAATAAGCATTCAAGTTCCTTTGCAAATTTTTTAGCCTTAAATCCAGTAGCATGAGGAATTTAAAAGCCTAGTTTATATAGGATCACTCAGTTGTAGATTTGCCTAGTGGTCACTGGTTTGTTGTGTTATGTTTTATTTTGCATTGGATGCTCTTAGATGCATTAAATGTCCTTTCATTTGAGGAAAATATGTGGTATTTTTTTTTCTTTTTGCTTCTCTGTTTATTTTAGAATGTTACTTGAAAGCAGCATCTCAGTTGTATGTAAAAAACAAAACAAAAAAAAAACCACTCTCAGGGGAAAGAGTATTTTTAGTGCTGAGTGCATTAGGCTGCATGAAACTGTGGCATGACTTCTGCGTATTGTGCACAGGTTTCAAAAGTATATTTACATGATCACGTAGAGAACCATGCAAGAATCACTAGATTGTAATTCCTCACAGACATAAACCAGACCTAGTAATGGCCGATATTGAACTAGCTGTTAGGAACCCAGATGCTGTGGTGGAACAGGCCAGTTAGATGCAGTCTGTCTATAAGAGTCTGCTATGTGAGTCACGATTCCCAGACATGGGGGGACTGATGTGCGACTGGTTCCTCATGGACACCAGCAGCTCCACTGGTTTTAATGGGAATCAGTGCGAGTGAACTGGCTTGGATTAACTATGCTTAGACTCTCTTATCTCATGATTTAATCAGGTTTCCAGGGGAAAAAGGTTATTGTCACTTTGACACACACTTGGCTACTTCTTCCCCACAAAACAGACGCACATCTTGTTTTAACCACTGAGTTAACAAACAAGAATTGAATCTTTTCTGRATTTCATGAAAAAAAATATTTGTCAATTTGTCAACTATAACAGGTGTATTTTTTTCTGTTTTTAAGGGGGGGGGGATGAAACTTCTGCTTGTGTCATAAGAGTCATAACATTACAACAACAATCAGCTTCCCTTTAGCTTTTTAACTCTTGACGTGAGGACAGAACTCWCAGATAGGTTAAACTGTAATTACTTAATTTTAAAAAATAAATTCTGTCCTGCTGCTGCCCTTGTACTATACATTGCTCCTAGGTGTTCCCTCTGTAGACTAGATGCTCTCACCAAACAAACAAAACAAAGAAGAATACCGGCTTAGTAGTATATTTTATTTTTGCCTACATAAAAGTGACCCCTTAGAAGAATCCCACATTGCCACAGGTGGTGGTGTTAAATTGTGCAGCTCCCCTGGAAAGTCTGAGCAACAGGATTTCGAGTCAAAACAAGTGTCTTCCCACTGGGAGCCATTTTGACACTAGTTACTTAGTGTATTATTTAATAACGATTAAAAAAATGGATTATTGTACATAAGTTGTCATTAGCTTTATCTGTATTTCCGGGGTAAACAAATTTGCTGTGCATGACTTTAGAGGGTTTTCTGTGGACTCTTGTTTTCTAGCATGTCATAAATGTCAGTAACACTACCGTTAAAACACAGGTTTTCTGCTAGTGTAATTGCAAACCATGAAGTTTATTTTTATTCCTAAAGCAAAGTCCTACAGCTGCCCTGCATTGTGTGTTTATCTACCSTTAAAGTATCTCTGAGTTAATTATACAAGATATTTTCTGCTTGCAGCTGCTCATAGGGGCCCTTCATAAGTCAGAGGTTATCTCCTGCGGGGGTGGGCGAGAAACAACAATGAACCCTGAAACGTTTAAAATTAATTTTAAAGATATTCCCAACAGTGCTCGTGGTGGGGCCTGGCGGGGATGACACTGCGGCCGTTGGCAGTGGCCGTTGCGCGGCGGCCGTTGGTAGTGGCCGTTGGCAGTGGCCGTTAGCCGCGGCCGTTGTGCTGCCACCGTGGCGCCGCCGCCGGGGGAAGGGGGACTACGTGTCCCAGCAGCCCCGGCGGCATGCGGGAGGGCGGGCGGGCGGGCTCCCGGCAGCGCCCGCGCCCCGCTCATGCCGGCGGGCTCCATCTTGAGCGCCACGGCCGGGCTGCGCGGCGGAGCGGGAGTCGCGGTGAGGAGCCCCG